ATAGCAAACATCGAACAGAAGCTAAAGGAATCTTACAGGAGTCAAGAAACGCGAGAACTAAAAGCCATAAATGAAACTGAAAGAAACCCAAAGTATTTCTTTTCTTATGCCAAATCAAAGTCGAGAACAACATCCAGTATCGGGCCCCTACTTAAACAAGATGGGTCCTACACAGATGACAGCTAGGAGTGCCAGAAATCACCGGCCGTTCGTCATAGTAGGAGTGCCAGAAACCACCGGCCGTTCGTCGTAGTAGGAGTGCCAGAAATCACCGGCCGTTCGTCATAGTAGGAGTGCCAGAAATCACCGGCCGTTCGTCATAGTAGGAGTGCCAGAAATCACCGGCCGTTCGTCATAGTAGGAGTGCCAGAAATCACCGGCCGTTCGTCATAGTAGGAGTGCCAGAAATCACCGGCCGTTCGTCATAGTAGGAGTGCCAGAAATCACCGGCCGTTCGTCATAGTAGGAGTGCCAGAAATCACCGGCCGTTCGTCATAGGAGTGCCAGAAATCACCGGCCGTTCGTCATAGTAGGAGTGCCAGAAATCACCGGCCGTTCGTCATAGGAGTGCCAGAAATCACCGGCCGTTCGTCATAGTAGGAGTGCCAGAAATCACCGGCCGTTCGTCATAGGAGTGCCAGAAATCACTGGCCGTTCGTCATAGTAGGAGTGCCAGAAATCACTGGCCGTTCGTCATAGTAGGAGTGCCAGAAATCACCGGCCGTTCGTCGTAGGAGGAGTGCCAGAAATCACCGGCCGTTCGTCGTAGTAGGAGTGCCAGAAATCACCGGCCGTTCGTCGTAGTAGGAGTGCCAGAAATCACCGGCCGTTCGTCATAGGAGTGCCAGAAATCACCGGCCGTTCGTCATAGGAGTGCCAGAAATCACCGGCCGTTCGTCGTAGTAGGAATGCCAGAAATCACCGGCCGTTCGTCGTAGAAGTGCCAGAAATCACCGGCCGTTCGTCGTAGGAGTGCCAGAAATCACCGGCCGTTCGTCATAGTAGGAGTGCCAGAAATCACCGGCCGTTCGTCGTAGTAGGAGTGCCAGAAATCACCGGCCGTTCGTCGTAGTAGGAGTGCCAGAAATCACCGGCCGTTCGTCGTAGTAGGAGTGCCAGAAATCACCGGCCGTTCGTCGTAGTAGGAGTGCCAGAAATCACCGGCCGTTCGTCATAGTAGGAGTGCCAGAAATCACCGCCGTTCGTCGTAGTAGGAGTGCCAGAAATCACCGGCCGTTCGTCGTAGTAGGAGTGCCAGAAATCACCGGCCGTTCGTCATAGTAGGAGTGCCAGAAATCACCGGCCGTTTGTCGTAGTAGGAGTGCCAGAAATCACCGGCCGTTCGTCGTAGTAGGACTGCCAGAAATCACCGGCCGTTCGTCGTAGTAGGAGTGCCAGAAATCACCGGCCGTTCGTCATAGTAGGAGTGCCAGAAATCACCGGCCGTTCGTCGTAGTAGGAGTGCCAGAAATCACCGGCCGTTCGTCGTAGTAGGAGTGCCAGAAATCACCGGCCGTTCGTCATAGTAGGAGTGCCAGAAATCACCGGCCGTTCGTCATAGTAGGAGTGCCAGAAATCACCGGCCGTTCATCGTAGTAGGAGTGCCAGAAATCACCAGCCGTTCGTCGTAGTAGGAGTGCCAGAAATCACCAGCCGTTCGTCGTAGTAGGAGTGCCAGAAATCACCGGCCGTTCGTCGTAGTAGGAGTGCCAGAAATCACCAGCCGTTCGTCGTAGTAAGAGTGCCAGAAATCACCGGCCGTTCGTCGTAGTAGGAGTGCCAGCACCGGTTTCTCCAATACGCATGTTATACTTTTTGTATCACCTGAACATTATTACTCTGTTAAATATTCTAGTGGTCCTTTCACGAGCTAGCTCAAAAATCTCCGACCGGATTTATTAAAATAAGTGATCCACTGACTGGATTTCGTCTGGATTCGTCTAGAAATAAGTGAACCAATGACTGGATTCATATTCTTATGGTGTTTTAGGTGGCCTTATCAAACATCCAAACAAAATAACTATTAGAGTGGTAAGATTGCTCCAAATACATACACATAGAGATAAAATAGATACAATACAAATAGACAGATCTCCACTTTAAGGAAGCTTTTAATAGAACATACAGTAAAACAACCAATAAAATCACATCATGAAACCCAGTGTAGTCTGCAACTAAACAAACAAACGGGTTATTGCATGGATTATATGCAATTTCTGTGGTGAGTGGAGCCACGCTCCTTGTGCAGGTATTCAGGAATCATCTACAAGAAACATTAAACCAGGGAAGTGTTTTTGGGTATGCCCAAATGAGACCGAACTGTCGAATAAAATCACATTGGTATTAAAAGATAACATCAAAATGGTTTTTATAAAAAACATGGCAGAATTCTATAACAGATGGGAAAACAAAAAGAAACCTGGGCTAGATGGTGATATCGCCCCTGGAACAAATGTTGTCCTGGCAGACAGTAGCTGTAAGAATGAAGAAATAAATAATGGTGGCCTGGAGGAGGACAAGAGCTCTAGTGGGAAAATAGGTGTAGACAAGGACATGCTAAAACCAATGTTGCAAATTAGCAATACCACAGGACATTCTTACAGCTACTGTCTGCCAGGACAACATTTGTTCCAGGGGCGATATCACCATCTAGCCCAGGTTTCTTTTTGTTTTCCCATCTGTTATAGAATTCTGCCATGTTTTTTATAAAAGCCATTTTGATATCTTTTAATACCAATGTGATTTTATTCGACAGTTCGGTCTCATTTGGGCATACCCAAAAACACTTCCATGGTTTAATGTTTCTTGTAGATGATTCCTGAATACCTGCACAAGGAGCGTGGCTCCACTCACCACAGAAATTGCATATAATCCATGCAATAACCCGTTTGTTTGTTTAGTTGCAGACTACACTGGGTTTCATGATGTGATTTTATTGGTTGTTTTACTGTATGTTCTATTAAAAGCTTCCTTAAAGTGGAGATCTGTCTATTTGTATTGTATCTATTTTATCTCTATGTGTATGTATTTGGAGCAATCTTACCACTCTAATAGTTATTTTGTTTGGATGTTTGATAAGGCCACCTAAAACACCATAAGCATATGAATCCAGTCATTGGTTCACTTATTTCTAGACGAATCCAGACGAAATCCAGTCAGTGGATCACTTATTTTAATCCGGTCGGAGATTTTTGAGCTAGCTCGTGAAAGGACCACTAGAATATTTAACAGAGTAATAATGTTCAGTTGATACAAAAAGTATAACATGCGTATTGGAGAAACCGGTGCTGGCACTCCTACTATGACGAACGGCCGGTGATTTCTGGCACTCCTACTATGACGAACGGCCGGTGATTTCTGGCACTCCTTTTTTACAGCCTGAAGTTTTGAGCACTTATAGATCACTGTATTTAGCTTTTCTAGATTTTCTTGTACCTCCACCACAACCAAACTGTATACGACTCGTATTTCAAAAGAAGAAATTTTTAATGTTCGTCACTGCACCACACTAAGTACCAATAATATAAACCATTCCACGGGCGGGGATAGAACCCGCGATCAGAGTCATACCACGGGCGGGGATAGAACCCGCGATCAGAGAGTCTCGAAACTCTAGACCGTCGCGTTAGCCATTACGATTTCGTGAGTCATACCAATAATATGTTACTGTTATTAACTATGACAACACTGGCAAAAGGTTTCTCGATGATGAAAGACTTATATTGTTGTATACGTTCACTGACAACTCACAACTCGACACTCCATCGAAGACACGTCAAGACTCCAAGCGGACATCAACCAAATTGTCAAATGGGCCACTCAAAATAATATGAAATTCAATGAAGAAAAATTTCAACTACTCAGATATGGAAAACTTTAGAAAATTAATACTGTATCAGGGTATATGACAAATTCTAACCATATAATAGAGCGCAAAAGTAATGTGAAAGACCTGGGAGTAATAATGTCAGAGGATCTCGCCTTCAAAGACCACAACAATGTATCTACTGCATCTGCTAAGAAAATGATAATGGATAATGGATAATGATAACCTTCAAAACAAGAGACGCCAAGCCCATGATTCACTTCAAATAGCTTGTGCTCTCTAGACTGGAATACTGCTGTACACTAACTGTCCCCTTCTAGGCTGGCGACATTGCTGACCTGGTGAGTGTACAAAAAACTTTCACGGCACACACAAGTACGATAAGGCACCTAAATTACAGGAACTGTTGAAATCCAGTGATTTGTATTCCCTGGAGCGCAGGCGAAATAGAGACATGATAATATACACTTGGAAAATCCTAGAGAGGATTAGTATCAAACTTGTACAGGAAAATCACTCCCTATGAAAGCAAAAGACTCTGTTGGAGATGTAACATTTCCCCAGTGAAAAGCAGGGTCGCCACGAATACACTGAGACAACACATTAAGTGTCAGGGGCCCAAGACTGTTCAACTGCCTCCCAGCATACACAAGGAGGATTACCAACAGACCCCTGGCTGTGTTCAAGAAGGCACTGGAGAATCATCTAAAGTCAGTACTTGACGAGACGGGCTGTAGTTCGTACGTCAGTCTGCGTGCAGCCAGCTGTAACAGCCTAGTTGATCCACCATAAGACCCCAGTCTCAGACCGGGTCGCGGGGGCGTTGACCCTCGAAACCCTTTCCAGGTATACCTGTTTCACATACTTCCCATTAGTGTGTCACTGGCCTAGGCCTAGTTTCCCTAATGACCGGTAGATGGCAGGCCACCTAGGTCTATCCTCACGGCCTATCCTCTCTCACTCTGCACACACCTGATCTTTCGTCAAGACCTACCCCCCATGGATTGGCTCCTTAGCCACCCTATAACTGCGTTTGCCTGTGTATCCATTTGTAAATGAACAGCACTAATCAATACTGTCTTGTGTTCAACCTCCAAGCTGCCCTGCTACGCTACCAGTCCACAGAAGAGAGGTAAAACACAAGTGATTTCCCACTTTTGTTCAGCAAGAGTGTTTAATTGAATATAGGTCTGACGCAAAGACGGCAATTTTTGTCCTTGAAACAACATTTGAGGTTCGTAGGACAATCGAAGTCACTGAAGCACTCGTCACGACAGAAAGGATCACCGAAGAAAAATCTGTGGTCTGGTTGTGTCTGACGAGCACGACGTCTGGTTGTTGCCTCGCTCACGCCTTCCTCAACTGCACGAACATCTAACAGAGTCTTCTTCAGCCACTCTTCCTGATTCTCCTCATTAATTGACCTGTTAGGCCGGCCTCGGGTTCGCTCCCAACGGTTAAACCGTGTCTCTTGACGAGAATGATTGTCGCCACGGTTTGGTGATCGTTTATGTCGGTTTTTGGTTCCTTCTTGTCGGCTTCGGCTAATCTCTGGTAAATCATCTTGATCTGTCTGGTTTACTGATCTGTTAGGGCGACCGCGGGTTCGTTCCCATCGGTTAAACCGTGTATCTTGACGGGCATCATTGTCTTCACGGTTTGGTGATCTTATATATCGGCTTTTGGTTCCTTCTGGTTGGCTTGGGCTAGTCTCGGGTAAATCATCTTGATCTGTCTGGCTGGTTGACCGGTTAGACCGGTCTCGGGTCCGCTGCCATTTGTTCAGGAGTGTTTCGTGGTTAATATCCTGATCCCTGGGGTTCGCTGATCGAGTGAAACGTCCATGAATTTCATCTCCTGAAAGCGATTTACTACCTCTGGTACCTTTGTCATCTTTTTGTTGGGTGACGTGTGCCTGTGTTTCTGTGGAGATGGTTGCGTGGTCTTCTAGGGGTTGTGAGGACCCAGCAGCTTCTGACCGGAGGCCTGGGAAGCCTAAAGAGCCTTGGTGAGGGCACAAACCTAGCTTTGTCGTCGGATGATTTACTGTTGAAGAAAAAAAAGGCATATTTTTATTAGTGTTCAGTGACTGTTCACACTAGAAACACATTGTGAGAAATGGTTAAGAAAAAAAGAGAAGTTGAAGAATGAGACACTTGTGCTGTACTTCTCTTCAATATTGATGAACTGGACATAACGATTCCAGGCTGAGGGATTGATTACCTCAAACTTCTCTTTTTCTACCGTTCTTCTTTGTATTAGACTGATGAAGCCACCGTGTGGCTAATTTTTTTTTCTTAGAAAAGATTCCCATATATTGCACAAGTGTCTCATTGTTCAGCTAGGAAAACAAAATTGTTTCTTGAAAGGATAAGAGAAATTAATGCTGGCACAACAAAAATTTTAATTTGAAATTGAAATTATACTATATTACTCTGATCAAATTGTTACTGTCGGGTATTGTCTCTCAGACAGTTATTACAGTCACGAGAGAATGTGCTAAACCAGTAAGGGTGCTAATTAGGTCTCATCTCTAATTTAGTTTTTTTAATTAAAAAGAAGCAATAAACCTCTTCGGGGTCATAATAATACTAATAATAATGTTAATAAAAATAATCTTTAATAATAATAATAATAATGATGATAATCTTAATATATTTCTTTCCAGCAATATCCAGATAATGTAATTTGCATATAATAAATAATTGTTAGGCAGAAAAAGCCATTGCGGGAATGGTAGGCATTAAGATTCAATTTATAAAAAAAGATAAGTCGGCTTCCTTGGATCAAGGCATCAAGGCACCTGCCGTCGACTCTCAGAAAGGATTGGAAACCACTAGATGGGAAGCCGTTAGACATTCTTCCTGAAGGATGGTAACCAGGTAGTGTGTGCCTGGCTGGTGTAGCCCGACACGATAATTGCTTTTGCTGTCATGCAGAAGCGCTAAACTCGTAGTGCTTATTAAGTCCCTGGGGGATGAGATGTAATCAGATGTCATAAAAGACGGTAGCCTTAACTCTTAGATCAAGAGTCCTTCAACAGCGTCAGCGATCTATTCCCTGGTTGAGTGAAATCTGTTAGTAGTGAATGTAAGTTTGTGTGGTTGAGTGTAACAGTGTATGTAAGGTTGTGAGTGGTTGAGTGTAACAGTGTATGTAGGGTTGTGTGTGGTTGAGTTTATCAGTAGCATAAGTATGGTGAATGTAACAGTAGAGTAAGTAGAGTTGTGTAATTGAGTGTAACGGTAGTGTATGAAGGGTTGCGTATGGTTGAGTGTAAGAGTTAGTAGTGCATGTAGAGGTATGTGTGGTTGAATGTAGGAATCAATAATATGTGTTGAGTTGGGTTGGGTTTGCTTGAGAATAACAGTGGGGTCTGGCTGATTGTAACCGTGTATAGGGCGGTTGTGTTTGTGTTTGAGTGTAACAGGTAGTAGCTAGTGCAGGGTGGTTGTGGCTGAGTGTAACAGGTGGTGGTAGTAGTAGTAGTAGTAGTAATAGTAGTGAGTACAGGGTGGTTGTGGAAGAGTGTAACAGGCTCTGTATTATACTAGTGGGGATGTGCCAAATCCATAGCGGTCAGAGTCTTGGGAACTGAGTGTCGGCTTAATGCAAGGAAGGGAAAGAATACTGCATATCCTTGAATGAATAGTCCTTGACTACCATAACTGTACTTCTCCACGCCCTCCCTTTCTTGAAGAGTAACAGATAAAACTAACCTTGAGGGGTGCGACAAACGGCAGAACATCCCACAAGGCAGCACTTGAACAGGCCGGGACAGTGGAAATCACTCTGACATTCAGCGACACAAGAGGCACCCCCGAACCTGGTAAAGCCGGTGTGAACTCCAGCCAGGAGAGGACAAGAGCCTGATTTTCCTTGCACCGCTTCAGGCAGCCCTGGCGAACCCGCTGCACCGATGAGCTGTCCCGGGAATTGTCCTTGAAATTGACCCGGGAATTGCCCCGGGAATTGCCCCGGGAATTGTCCTGAGAATGGTCCTGGGAACTGTCCCTGAAATTGTCCTGGGAATGTCTGAACACCCAGACCAAAGGAACCAGTTTGCCCAGCTGGGAGGATGAAGGCGCAGCAGGAACGAGTGGACTGACAGCACCTGCGATTGAGGTGCTGGTCAGACACAGAACACTGCTTGCATGCCTCCTCAGTGAAGAGTCCCAGAAAGTCCAGACTCTCTAGCAGTCCAGGAGCAAATCTGAAATAAATTAGAAAAATTAACGAGTCATAATTATGACAATTAGCAGCAGAATTAATACAGTAATTGTGACGTGTTTAACCCGCTTGGATAAGAAATAGTTTGGTTGGGAATGGGAAAGTCAGGTTCTGTCCAAGGAAGCGAAGTTTATCTTTACTCTTTGGATCAAGAGCCCTTCTCAAGCAGCAAGGCATCTCCCTCGAAGGGTGAAAATAATAACAAAACGGGTTCAACTCTTGTCCAACACACTTTTATATAGAAGTGTGTGTCATATGACTAATTACAGCTAGGAAAGAGCAGAGAATGTACCTTATTGTGAAGAAAAGGCAAGTGAGCCAACACAGGATATTGTAATAAGGGAAATTTTATGTTAAAAGTTACAACATATCGGGCAGGTTGGTAAATATGCTTCATGAACATGTCTCAGACCACAGCCATCTGGTGACCTGACTGGACTCTAGTACTGCCTCACCCTCACAGTTACTATTGATTAATTAAACCTGTGCTTTTAGTCCTCTGAATATATGGAGTGAACAACGTCCCAGGACAGAAAAGTTTCCCTTTTTCAAAGTTCAGAATGTTTGCTTAGATGTCATTTTTTTAGAACTTGTCAGTTTCACAGGTTTATCACAGGGTCATGTAGGGAATGCTGACGATAATCTCAACCTACATACTATGAATCCTTCTGATCACCATTCTTCTTTGTATAGGACTGACGAGGCCAAGTGAAACGTTTCCTCAAAAAAAGATAACCAAGTGTTTCACATATGTCTAATTTATCAGCTTCTCAGTTTTCCGAACCATTTGTCTACACTAATATCAGTAACTTTCTCAGAGGGTAAGGTAAGGTACCCAAGGATTGGCAGAGAGCATGCATAGTTGCTTTGTACAAAGGCAAAGGGGACAAAAAAAGAGTGCAAAAATTATAGGGGTAGAAGTCTGTTGAGTATACCTGGTAAAGTGTATGGTAGAGTTATTACTGAAAAATTAAGAGTAAGATGGAGAATAGGATAGCAGATGAACAAGGGGTTTTAGGAAAGAAAGGGGGTGGATGAGTTTGGTAGGGTATGTAAAAGAAGGAAATTAAAAGTGAATGTAGGAAAGAGTAAGGTGATAAAATTAAGTGACGAAGGATGGGTTGTCAGATTGGAGGAAGAGAGTATAGAGGAGAGTATTTAGAAGTGGATGTGTCAGCAGATGGGTCTATGAAAGATGAGGTGAGTGGAAAAAGGTTAGTGGTGCACTAAGGAGTCTTTGGAGACAGAGAACTTTATCCATGGAAGCAGAGAATGTGAGGGGTGTGTGAGGAATGGGTGGTGAATGTTGCAACAAGGAAAAGGCTGAAGATAGTGGAGATGTCATTTCTGAGGGCAATGTGTGGTGTGAATGTAATGCAGAGAATTCGTAGTTTAGAAAATAGGAGGTGCAGGATTACCAAAACTATTATCCAGAGGACTGAAAAGGGGTTGTTGAGGTGGTTCGGACATGTAGAGAAGATGGAACAAAACAGAATGACTTCAAAAGTGTATAAATCTGTAGTGGAGGGAAGGTGGGGTAGGGGTCGGCCTAGGACTGGTTGGAGGGAGGGGGCGTAAAGGAGGTTTTGTGTGCGAGGGGCTTGGACTTCCAACAAGCATGCGTAAGCATGTTAGGAGTAAACGGAGACAAAAGGTTTTTAGGAGTTGACTTGCTGTTGGAGTGTGAGCAAGGTAACATTCATGAAGGGATTCTGGGAAACCGGCAGGCCGGACTTGAGTCCTGGAGTTGTGAAGTATAGTGTCTGCACTCTGAAGGAGGGGTGTTAATGTTGCAGTTTTGTAACTGTAGCTGTATAGCCCTTGTGGCTTAGCGCTTCTTTTTGATTATAATAATAATTTGTAACTGTAGTGTAAGCACCCCTCTGGCAAGACAGTAATGGAGTGAATGATCAAAGTTTTTCTTTCTCGGCCACCCGGTCTTGGTGGGAAACGGTCGATGTGTTAATAAAAAAAAAAACTTTCTCATATTAAAAGAAGACAAAGAGGAAACCCCAGAAGAAGAAAAAGAACAGTTTATTCGGATAAGCAACTCCAGAGGGCAATAACCCAAGAAAATCAAACAGTGTGGCTTGTTTTCTTCCCCAGGATGTGACCCACAACCGACGACTTGCCTATGCTTATCGTCTCGCCTATTGATTCACCCCGGGTACATACAGTAGAGCTGAATGCGCTATTAGGTGCCTGCTACACTACGAGTAAACGGAAACTTTAAATTGAAGAGCCAGTCATTGAGCACCCGACTCACGAAATCGTAATGAAACGTTTGCAAACAAACCATACCACGGGTGGGGATGGAACCCGCGGTCAGAGAGTCGTAAAACTCCAGACCGACTCGTTATCCACAGAAATCTGATAAATGTGTTACAAATTGCCAAATACGGACATATAACATCATTAGAAGTATTATGTACGTTGCGTATTGCATTCAGTAGTAGTGGTATTACCTATGTTACCCTTGTGGCTCTGATAAACTTCAAAAACATTTGCTAGAGCATAAGATCTCTCAGCTTTTTATGAGAGATACCTTTCCCTTTCTTGAATCAGATCAGATTACCATCGTCCCAACAATCTCTCAGGCTTTATGTAACCTTCAAAGGTTTAGGGCTTTAACATGATTTTATTAACACCTGTAATACCACCACCAATAATAATTTAATCGTTGAGTTGCAAGTCATTGAAAGTATATAGTAAACAAATACCTTGTTTGTCCGGGGTGTGGGGGTGTTAAGGGCTGGGATGGAGGAGAGTCGTGCTGGCCTGGTGAGGAATCATGCTGTCGTTTGGACTGGACGGTGGTGGCGATATTTGTGGTGTTGGCTTTGTCTGGAAACTTGACCTGGGCGACAGCTAGCCCTACCCAGCACAGCACTAGTAACACAGTTAGTCCTGCCAT